GGGGGAGTGGGAGAGGGAGAAGCAGGCTTCCCGCTGAGCGGGGAGCCTGATGCGGGGCTCGATCCCAGGACCCTGGGATCATGACCTGAGCTGAAGGCAGCCGCTTAACCGACTGAGCCACCCAGGGGCCCCGAGTATTTTCATTATGAGAGATGTTGAGTTTTGTCAAATGCTTTTGCTGTGTCAATTGAGATGATCATGTAGGTTTTTTCCCCTTCTTTCTGTTTATGTGGTGTATTACATTGATTGATTTTTATATGTTGAACCATCCTTGCTTTCCAGGAATAAATCCTACTTGGTCATGGCATATAATCCTTTTAATATGCTGCTGAATTCTATTTGCCAGTATTCTGTTGAGGATTTTTGCATCAATGTTCATAAGGGGTACTGGGGTAGTTTTTTTGTACTGTCTTTGTCTGGCTTTGGTTTCAGGGTAATGTTGACATTATAGAATAAGTCAGAGTGTGTTCCCTCCCCTTCAGTTTTTCAGAAGAGTTTGAGAAGGATTGAGGTTAGTTCTTCTTTAAGTGTTTTGTAGACTTTACCAGTGAAGACATCAGGTCCAGAGCTTTTCTTCATCAGAAATTTTTAAAAATATTTTATTTATGTATCTATTGGAGAGAGAGAGAACAGGGGGAGGGACAGAGGGACAGAATCTCAAACAAACTCTGCACTGAGTGCAGAGCCTGACGTGGGGCTCAATCCCAGGACCCTGAGATCATGACCTGAGCCGAAATCAAGAGTCGGATGCTCAACTGACTGAGCTACGCAGGCACCCCAGAAATTTTTTTTTTTTAGGTAGGCTCCAGCATGGAGCCTGACATGGGGCTCGAACTCACAATGCTGAGATCAAGACCGGAGCTGAAATCAAGAGTCAACCGACTGAGCCACCTGGGGGGTCCCAACAGAAAATTTTTGATTACTAATTCAAACTCCTTACTAGCTATAGATCTATTCAGATTTTTCTATTTTTTTTTTTCATGGTTTAGTCTTGGGAGGCTTTGTGTTTCTAGGAATTTATTCATTTCATCTAGGTTATCTAATTTGTTGGCATACAGTTGCTCATAGTACTCTCCTATAATCCTTTTTATTTCTATAGAATTGGTAGTAATGTCCTCATTTTAATTTCTGATTTTAGTAATTTTGAGTGTTCTTTTTTTCTTAGTCCATCTAGTTAAAGATTTGTCAATTTCATTGATCTTTTCAAAGAACCAAGCTTTGGTTTCATTGCTTTTCTCTATTTTTCTATTCTCTATTTCATTTATCTCTGCTTAATCTTTATTTCCTTCCTTCTGCTAGCTTTGGGTTTAGCTCCTCTCTTTCTAGTTCCTTAAGTTGTAAAATTATGTTGTTGAATTGAGATCTTTCCCATTTTTTAATGTTGTGTTTATCACTATAAATCTCCTTAGCACTGCTTTTGCTGTGTCCTATAAGTTTTGGTATGTTGTGATTTTGTTTTTGTTAATTTCTAAGTATTTTCTAATTTCCCTTGTGATTTTTTTCTTTGAACCATTGATTTTTTTAAGTGTTTAATTTCCACAGATTTATAAATTTTCCCATTTTACTTCTGTTATTGATTTCTAACTTTATCCCACTGTGGTCAGAGAAAATACTTTGTATGGTATCTGTCTTCTTAAATCTTTTGAGACTTAATTTGTGGCCTAACATGCAGTCTATCCTGGAAAATGTCCCATGTGCACTTGAGAAGAAAGCATACTGTTGTTGGGTAGAGTATTCTGTATATGTCTGTGAGATGTAGTTGGTTTGTTGTGTTCTTTAAGTCCTCTATTTCCTTCCTTCCTTCGGTCTGCTTGCAGTATCTAGTATTGAGAGTGGGGTATTAAAGTCTCCACGTATTATTGTAAAACTGTTTCTCCTTTGAGCTCTGTCACTTTTTGCTTTTTACATATATTTTTAAATATTTATTTATTTGACAGAGAGAGACAGTGAGAGACGGAACACAAGCAGGGGGAGTGGGAGAGGGAGAAGCAGGCTTCCCGCGGAGCAGGGAGCCAGATGCGGGGCTCGATCCCAGGACCCTGGGATCATGACCTGAGCCGAAGGCAGACGCTTAACGGCTGAGCCACCCAGGCACCCCTGCTTTATATACTTTGATGGTCTGTTACTGGGTGTGTAGATGTTTATGATTGTTTTATCTTCTTGCTGTGTACTGCATCTTTTATCAATATACAATGTCCTTTTTTGTCTGTTGTGACCTGTTAAAACTTTTAAGTCTATTTTGTTCAATATTAGTATATCCACCCCTGCTCTCTTTGGTTACTATATGCATGGAATATCTTTTTCTGTTTTTCATTTTCAGCCCATGTGTGTCTTTGGATCTAAAATAAATCTCTTGTAGACTGCATATAGTTGGATCATAATTTTTTATCCATTCTACAAATCTCTCTTTTGATTACCTTTTAATCCATTCACATTTCAAGTAATTACTGATAAGGAGAGACTTCTTTTATTCTGCTATTTGTTTTCTTATGTGCCTTAGAGCTATTTTGTCTCTCATTTTTTGCATTACTGTTTTCTTTCTGTTTAATTAATTTTTATAGTGAAATAGTTAAATTTGTTTCCCATTTCCTTTTGACTGTATTCTTCAACTCTATTTTTGTGGTTTTCATGGGGGTTATATTTAACATCCTAAAGTTATAACCCTCTAATTTGAATTTATACCTGTCCAACTTCAATAACATACAAAACATCTGCTTCTTTAACAGTCCCATCCCTACCACTTTCAGTTCTTGATGTTGTAGAACTACATCTTTATACATTGTGTGTCCAAAAAAATACATTTAATCTCTTCTGTAGAAAACAAAATTATTACATGTGATGAGTCACTTCTCGCTTGATTCTTTCAAAATTCTCTTTTGTCTTTGACTTTTGACAGTTTGATTTTAATGTGGTTGAGTGTGGGTCTCTTTGACTTACCCTATTTAGAATCTTTTGGTCTTCTTGGACGTTTATAGTCATGCCTTTTCTCAAATTTGGGAAGTTTTCACCCATTATTTCTTCAAATATTATCTCTGCCCCTTTCCATCTCTTCTCCTTTCAGGGACTCCTATAATGTGCATGTTGGTCCACTGGGTGATGTTCCACATGATTGTTATATTTTCGAGTTCCCTGACTATTACTTCTGTCTGTTCAAATCTGCCTTTGAATCCGTCTAGTGAATTTTCATTTTACTTATATTTTTCAGCTCCAAAAATTTGTTTGGTTTCTTTTTAGGTTTTCTACCTCTTCGTTGATACTGACATTTGTCCATACATTGTTTTCTTGACTTTCTCCACATCTCCCTTTAGTTCTTTGATCAAGAGAGTTGTTTTAAAGTCTTTTTCTGGTAGGTCTACTATCAGGTCTTTTTTGGGGGCAAGTTTCCATTGGGTTATTTTTCTCCTTTGAATGTGCCATGCTTTCCTGTTTCTTTATATGCCTTGTGATTTTTTATTGTTGTTGAAAACTGGACATTTCAATCTGATACTGTGGTCATTCTAGAAATCAGATTCTCCCCCTTTCCCAGGATTTGCTGGGTTTTGTTTTTAATTATCATAGTCTGTCTCTGTGCCATGGATCAGCCTGAGGTATAAATTTAGGGTCTTCTCAGGTCTTTTCTGAACCCGCCTCTTCCCCTGGGCATGCATGGTGAGTTTCTAATTTCCTTCCTATATACTGTTGCTTTTGAGTGTCCTTGTCTTCAGTGTCTGGCTCCCAAGAGGGGAAAAAGAAAAAGAAAGGGGAGAGATCTTTTAAGTCCCCTGGAAGTCACTTCAGCCAGGGGCAGGGAGGTACAACAAAAATGGCCACAGCAGGGGCACCTGGGTGACTCAGTCAGTTAAGCATCTGATCTGCCTTCAGCTTGGGTCATGATCCCAGATCCTGGGATCGAGCCTTGCATGGGGCTCTTTGCTCAGTGGGGAGCCTGCTTCCCCCCAACCCGCTCTGCCTGCCGCCCCCCCTGCTTGTGCTCTCTCTCTCTTTCTCCCTCTGTCAAATAAATAAATGAAGTCTTTTTTTTAGAAAGTTTAAAAAAAATGGCTACAGCCTCTTTGTACCTCTATGGTCAGAAACAGCAGTCGGAGCACAGATCCCCAGTATTTGGAAGACAGGATCCTTCTTGCCCATCCTGGCTCCTGCAAGCTGTTCCAGGAACATGTGCACAGCTGCCTGCCATGGGGCTGAGGGGTAGGATAAGAGTAGCTGCCATTGCGCCAAGAGATGAAACTGACCGAAATCAAAATGAACTGCAATGTTCTGTCCAAGTCTTCCCCTGCAAGTTGCAAGCTTTCAATAGACACCAGAGTGCCAAAACAGATCAGACAGATTCTGCCAGTGTAAATGTTGTCTAGGTAGGAAGGTAGATTTCTGGTGCTCTACCACCTTCTCAGAATCCTCTCCATAATATGTTTTTATCGAGGTAGAATTCAAATGTACAGTTAACCTTTGAAATATATTTTTAAAGAATCAGATTATATAACAGTGTTTAGTATGACCTCAGCTTTGTAAATAATATGTGCCTAGAGAAAAGATTGGAAGGAAATATGTGAAAATGTGAATAATGGTCCTTGCCGAGTGGTAGGATTGCGATTTGTGTTTTCTTCCCCCATTCCTATAATTTCCGAATAGGTTTCTGTAACTTCTTTATAATCAGAAGGACACGATCCTTAAAAAAAGAACAAAGCTCCCCTCTGGGTGTGCATTCAGCTGGGAACACAATCATAATGACAACGTTCCTCAGTTGATCTCAAGGGAGTTAATGGCTTACCTGTTCCCCCTCTTCTCTTCCACTGAATAAAACCCAAAACTTTCTTACTTTATAGGTGAATGCCAAAGAGCTCGATCCAAAATATGCTCATATCCAAGTCACTTACGTGAAGCCCTACTTTGATGACAAAGAACTCACAGAAAGAAAGACCGAGTTTGAAAGAAACCATAATATCAACAGATTTGTTTTTGAAGCTCCTTATACATTATCCGGCAAAAAGCAAGGTTGCGTAGAAGAACAATGCAAACGCCGCACAATCTTGACTAGTAAGTAGGACTTTGCATGATAACCTTTTGTTTGACTTGGTTCTTTTTTTTTTTTTTTAAAGATTTTATTTATTTATTTGAGAGAGAGAGAATGAGAGACAGAGAGCACGAGAGGGAAGAGGGTCAGAGGGAGAAGCAGACCCCTCGCTGAGCAGGGAGCCCGATGTGGGACTCGATCCCGGGACTCCAGGATCATGACCTGAGCCGAAGGCGGTCGCTTAACCAACTGAGCCACCCAGGCGCCCTGACTTGGTTCTTTTTGATACACACAAGTAGCAGGTGGCAAGCAGGAAGACGTAAGCTGCAGTTTTAATCCTGCGTTGTTCTGCTCTTTACCCATGAGCTTGCACAAACACAGCAACATTATATACCATAGTCACCCCATATGTAATTCGTGACTGATTGCTCCAGGGTGTCCCATAAAGAGAATTTTCCCCTCAATCCTGAACTAATAAGGTGCTTTCTGGTACCCTAGGGTATTTTCTAGAGAATGCATGATGGGGGCAATTAAGCATAGTGGAGCTTTTCCTTTGATTTGGCTGTTTGCACGAATGATTTTTTTTCCAAGATAACAAATCAGTGTGAACCTTTTAACAGCTTCCAACTCCTTCCCATATGTGAAGAAGAGGATCCCTATAAACTATGAGCAGCAGATTAATTTAAAGCCCATCGATGTTGCTACTGATGAAATCAAAGATAAAACGGCAGAGCTGAAAAAACTTTGCTCTTCTGCTGACGTGGACATGATTCAGCTCCAGCTGAAATTGCAGGGCTGCGTCTCAGTGCAGGTGTGTGGTTGCTGAAGGGGTCCTGAACGGTCCCTGATGTTCTTGCTTTCATAAGGGCACGGAGCAAGCATGAATTGCAATTGTGTAATCTGCTTGTGCACTGTTCTCGGTGAACTGAAAGAAATTAGGCTCAGACGTGTCCATCAATTTTGCATTATGGCAGAAGACTTTAACATAAACCCCTGAGACAGTAGCCACGCTCTGTACTTCCATAGCTAAAATTCATTAAGTAACTTGTTTGAATACCATCTTTGCAGATTATTTGCTTTAGTCATTGTTTTTCAAGTAAACTTCTAGTAAGAATAGTAAATATGGTCCTCGGGTAGAGATTTTTAATGTATTTAGGGTTTTTAAAAAAATTATTATTTTTTTAAAATATTTTATTTATTTGAGAGAGAAATAGTGAGAGAGATCACGAGCAGGAAGGAGAGGGAGAAGCAGACTCCCCGCTGAGCAGGGAGCCTGGACACGGGGCTCGATCCCAGGACCCTGGGATCATGACCGGAGCTGAAGGCAAACGCTTAACCGACTGAGCCACCCAGGGGCCCTAGGGTTTGTTTGGGTTTTTTTAGAGATAATGCAGGGGCGCCTCTTGCAAGTCTTGGTCTCAGGGTTGTGAGTTTGAGCCCCACGTTGGGAGTAGAGATTACTTTAAAAAAATGAAATCGTAAAAAAATAATAAAAATAAAAAGAGAAAGGCAGAAATTACTTTTTGATTACATTCTAACAACTCTTTCATTTTTCCCCCTTTGTACTTTAGGTAAATGCTGGTCCATTAGCATACGCAAGGGCTTTCTTAAATGATAGCCAAGCTAGCAAGTATCCACCTAAGAAAGTAAATGAGTTGAAAGACATGTTTAGGTAAGTGCTGTGTCCTTTTCCCTTTAGACCTCTATCCTTTTACTCCCATTTTCTTCTTTAGAGAAACCAAAATATTCACTTAATAACATCCCTCCAAAAAAGACATTCTCCGTTCTCTTTTACAATAGTTTAAGTGACCTGCCAACAGTACTTTAAGTAGCGAGGAAATGCACAATCTCTTTCTGGCTGCAGGACATTAACAATGAAATATGCCAATTTACCTAATTGCTTTGGATAGTGCGGCACAAATGGAAGCCTACATTCATTATGTGCTTTCCTCCTTTGCCTGATCGACTTCATCTTACAGCATTTCAAACCATTTAGGGTGGGAACAAAAGTTGAACTGGAAGGGTTGGATAGGCTTGCCCCCCTGTCCTGGGTTCTTGCTTTCACTTGGGATTCTGCTGGTCCAGGGCACATGATCCCGTGGCTCGAGGGAGCATCCCTGTAAGCTAAGGCATGCCTGAACAGTCTTGCATTAGAAAACAATCTGTTTAATATATATAAAAAAAAGTTCACATTCAGAAGAGAGACAGTTGAGTAAAATAGGCTAAGAGGGAAGATGATAACTCATCCACTCGTTTGCTCCCGACTTCATTTACTTTTCCTGTCTGTGTGTTAGCAACTGTTCCAGGCTGCAGAGTAACCAGTAGTCACTCATCCACCAATATTTATTAATGCCTGGCGTGTGCAGAAAGATTCTACTAGTTGCTATGACAGGGATGCAAACCAAATGGGGCAATGAGGTACTTTGTCCCCTAAGACCTACGCTCTAATTATGGACATCACACACAAACGCATGAATGATGGACAAATGCTCTTACAATAAGTCATCAACTCTCTGTGACTTATTTATAACAAGAAGTCTGTACCTCTTAATCCCCTTCACCAATTTCACCCATTCCGCTCCCCGCCCCATCTATGTCCCCACTCCCAGCCCAGGGCAGATAATTCCTATCTATAACACCCAGCCGCGTACTGGCTACATAGTAGCCCCAAATAAATTATGTTCGAATGCATAACTCACTATCTACAGGTGCAAATTAACATTAGCACAACTTTAGCTGATTTGATATCATGTGGCTGAGCAAATAGTCTTTCTAGAAGGTCGATGTTTTGAGCCAGGTTTCAAAGGAGGTGAGAAACCAGAGGGAAAAGGTGAGAAAGAAAGGAAAGGTATTTCGGACTTAGGAAGTGGCATTAGCAAAGACACAGTGAGAAAATACAGGATTCCAGTCTTCCCTCTAGGCAAGCCGCGGTTAAAGTGAATATCAAATTGATGGTCAGTGAGACTTTCTAGGAATAAATGATGAAACCCTTATCTTTGCTCTTTTTCCACAGGAAATTCATACAGGCATGCAGCATTGCACTTGAACTAAATGAGCGGCTAATTAAAGAGGATCAAATTGAGTACCATGAAGGGCTCAAGTCAAATTTCAGAGACATGGTGAAAGAATTGTCTGACATTATCCATGAGCAGGCAAGTATTAGGGTAGTTGAAAATGAAAACATGATCTGGGGCCCCTGAAGTGTTACTTAGCAAAGTCTGTTCGTTCGGAATGCATTACCTTGAAATTACTCCGTCTGTGTTTTCAAGTTTGCTCCTATTATCTTTAATCGTTTAAATGATATAATGCAAATCGAATTTGGAATAATTATCTGAAGCAATTGCTAAAGCAATTATCAGTAATAAGCCCATTTTGTTCTTTAGGCCGCAGTGCTATTAGAAGTAACTAGCTGAGCCAATCTAAATTGATCTACTGGAGACATGGGTAAGAGTCTCTCAAGAAGGGTCCTAAAGAAGTGAGATGATTGGCACAGGAGCCAAATCCCTAAAAGAATCTCTCTATCTTGGCTGTAAGAAGCTATAGATTCTATCGTTTAGGTGAGACACTGAGGGGCTTCCAAAATTGGAGAAATGTCTTGGCATTTTCATCTATGACTGAGTGTTCATGACAATTGCAGCTAACTTAGGAAAGCCACAACCTGAAAAATATGGAAGCCAAGACCTGTTCACCACTGACAGCCACATTTTGTCACAATCAGGTAGTTAGGACTTTCATACGCCTGAGCCAGCCCCCAGTCCCCAGGCACCTCCGGGGACTTTTATACACCTGTTTGTCTTCAACCCGAGTACTCCTAGGTTATCCTGGTAAACTTCATTTTTATGCTGGAGTCCTGACCACTCTACACATGGATTGTCACTCAAGTATTTTAGTGTCTTCAACACGTTTGTAAAAGTCCCAGCACAATGGCCTAGTCCCTCAGCGACTGAGCCTATTAAGCTTCATTTCCTTACTAATGAAAACAGCCAATGAGATAAATACTTGCTTCAGAAACTCTTCAAACCCTGAATTTTGAAGAAAGCAAGGCTTTCTTCCGAGAGACAAGGATAACTACAACCCTTTAGAGAACACATTCTTAAAGCTCGTTCCAGAACCTTCTCCGTCCTGGTAGCTGCGTTTCAGCAATTGCTTGCTGTGGGAAATTTAGTTAGTTAGCACAAGGTTGCGCTGAATGACCAGGAGTCTCATTTTCCAACCATTGTCATCTTCTCAGCCTGAAGAAGTCAGCCAGCCAGACCTTCATCATCCCATTTGGTCAGTGAGACTGCTTACCCCCCACTCTCCTACCCGCCCGTTCTCCATGTCTGGGAATCTCGTTGGCCCGAGGAGTCCGGAATCAGTGTTCTAGTTCTCCTTTTTGCCATCTCTACTTCTATTAGCCCATTTAGGAAGGAGTACAAACTGTTCCAAGGCATCCCTCTGCTGTTCAGTGTTCAGAGATCCTTTTTTGTCTCCTTCCCAAAGCAGCCAGGTGATCAGGACTAGGAAGGTAGGAAATCATTCCACTTCCTTTGTTCCCTGTGTCTCGAGCTCAGCCCATGGGTAGTGGAGAGCCATATACCTTTCTGTGCCATCACTGCTCTGACGCAAGTAGATGATGTAATTTGTTCCTAGGAGCTGTCCAGTGTATGCATTTCTATTCTTCATAATCCCTAGAAAATCAGCAAAAACTCCTTCACAAAAATACGACAACGACAGACGTTGTTTTAAGCCAATGTGTAGTGCGCTGCAATTATTCCATTTGCATGCAACTGCATGACGTAGCCTTAAACTCTAAAGTACTCAAATGGAAAACAAATTATTCAACTTACTGTTATTACAGTGATCAAGATACTTACAGTAGTCATTTTATAATGTTCTTCCCCTCTCCCCCGAAGTATGGATTTTGCAAATCTGCTGTCCCACTTCCCACCTGTCTCTCTCATTTGATTCCCATAAACTGTGGCTATTTTATTGAGTTGGAGAGACCAGTATTTTAGACCCTTGATATTATATATAGATAGGTAACAAAGAAAAAATCTTAGTTTCTTTTTTAAATTTAATTTAATTTTATTTACATTCAATTAATTAACATATAGTTCATTATTAGTTTCAGAGGTAGAGGTCCGTGATTCAGTTGCATATCATACCCAGTGCTCATTACATCATGTGCCCTCCTTAATGCCCATCACCCCATTTACCCCAGTCCCCCACCCCCCTCCCCCTCCAGCAACCCTCGGTTTGTTTCCTGTGGTTAAGAGTCTCTTTTGGCTTGTCTCCCTCTTTGATTTTGTCTTGTTTTATTGAAAAATCTTAAGTTTCTATTGGTTTATATTTATGCATGCTGTCCTGTCATAATGCATCGTATTTAGGTGTGCCCTAACTGTTGACTTTATAGTGAATTTTTATAATTTAACGTTTCCTATTAGATTCTCACAAAAGAGAGCCTTTTTTCAGTCCTACACTTTGAGATATGTTATTTCCCAAAGGAAAAGAAAATAATACAAAATAAGGTAAAATATAGCTGTAGAGTGCAATATAAATTATTCTGTTGTGCCCCATAAATGATTACTTGACAAAAGATATATGGCCTGGATATTCTTCACCCTCTTCAATGTAATCTGTTATAGTATACCAAAATATACAGTTCTTTGTAAAACTTCTTCAAGCTTTTGACTTTTAAAAGGAGACTTAAATAAATAAAATCTTTAAAAAAATAAGAGGGGATTTATATTATCTTAAAATGATGAATTGCAGATTTCTTAATTAGATAGAGTTAGTGGTGGCCACTGTAGGGTCTGGTATGTTTTGTTTTCTACACAATGAGTCCCATATTGTCTTGTCACATCTGACAGGTGTGGATAAACAATTAGTCATCTCTTAAACCTCTGCTTGGCTTCCAGATTCGTGTCATGAGTTACGATTTTTGTAAGAGGAAATTTCTCTATTACGGACTTTGTATAAGACCTAATTTGTAGCAACACAAATGATATGACTCATTACTGTCACCGTAGACCAGTTTGTGGGCTTAATACTGAAGTTTCAAAGCTAACTTGAGAACCAAGTATTGAAAGCTTGAGACCTAAGCTGGGATCATACAGTAAAGAGGTTGGATGTGATGTGTATGGTATTCTTTTCTTCCATCTTTTTTTTTTTTTTTTTTTAAGTAGGCTCCACACCCAATGTGGGGCTTGAACTTACGACCCCAAGACCAAGAGTCACATACTCTCCCAACTGGGCCAGTCAGGCACCCCTTCTTTTCTTCCATCTAATCAAGCATATTTGATCACACAAAATGGAAAGTTTTAAAAATATCTATACCAATATGAATATATATGTTTATATACTTATGGGATATAAAATTTACATGTTATATGTGTGAAGTTCTTCATTTCCATGAAAGCCTTCTGTATCAATTAGCTTATATAGTTCTAGTGGGTCTTTAGAATAGAAATATGTACTTGTGACTTTATTTAAGAATATTTTCCAAGTCTCCAGGGAAGGAACATGGGTATCTGTGTGTTTGAAAAGCCCCACTGGTGATTCCAAGAACCACTGTTATGATCGTTCGTTTAAAAAAAAATTTTTTTAAAGATTGCATTGCCTCTCCCTTTTTCTTGAATTTTGCATTTTACAATCTTTTGTTTTTCTTATTGAGTAACCAGATCTTTTCTGCTTTTTTGCTATGCTGCCTTTGTAATACAGCTTTGAAGACTTAAGTCGGTAATGTTATTCTTTGCTCTTTCTGTTTTATGTCATTTTAAATAGCTACGTGTCGGTGACAAATTGAAATATGCCTGTAATTTCATATACACATACTTTTTTGACAGCGGCTATTTTGCTTCATGATAAACATGCAGGGTTTTTTTTCTTTGTTTTAGATACTACAAGAAGACACGATCCATTCCCCCTGGATGAGCAACACATTACATGTATTTTGTGCAATTAGTGGTACATCGAGCGACAGAGGTTATGGTTCCCCAAGATACACTGCTGAAATCTGAGGACATGCAGATGCAAAGTGACAACGAGACTGACCTTTCTCAGGAATAATCGGAGCTGTGCAAATGTTAAAATTTAAAGATTTGATATACATGGAGTGTTTCTTCCTGACACCAAAATTTTCATGCTTTCAAACAGGGTGCTTACATATTTGTAAATATTTAAGCAACTTGAAAGTGCCTGGAAAATTGCACCACTGTGCTTGGTTTGTACTTTTTTAGGTAAATCTATATACGGAAAAGTAGAGCTCAAAAACATTAATTCAATTTGCTTAATTATTGCTTCAGATAATAATGGTACTGTGTAAAATTGTATAATGGAACACAATAAAAGGTAAAACTTATTTGTAATTAGAAGTGAAGGAAATAATACTTTGAACTTAGCATTTTTCTTGACAGGAAGCTCAATTCATGATCATACTGATCCTTGGAGAGAAAAAAAAAATGGATCAAATTTGCATAAAACACGGATATTCCAAATTGGGGAGGTAGTCTGAACTCCTGCCTGCTAGTAGTCAAGGCGAGGCTAAAGGAAACAAAAGGGTCATTTTAAAAGGAGGATTTCACAAGGAAAGGCAATACACAGAAATACCAAACTTACTGTTCCTTCAAGTTTTGAGCCAGTGATGCCAGGTGATCAAGTTGGTCTCTCTCTGCCTTCCAGGGCAAGGGATTCTTACGTGACCTAGCTCTCCCTGGGAAGTGGCATTGGTTTGTTCCCAGAGCTTTCTGGGGCTATCCAGAAGGCCAAATAAAATAGTTCCGAGAATTTACAGTCAGTACATCCTATGCAACTTCAGAGCTTTCAAAGTAGCAGAATCAGGGAGGTATTTATGTAATGACCATTTTTCTTTTCTGTGTACAAGATTAACAAGTACCTTGAGAGAAGTGGCTGGTTGCAGCATTTGGGGGGGTCAGGGGACGTACCCACTGCAGATCTGGCGACTGCTAGCTAGGGATTCCATTTCTAACTATGAAGACCTCTCAGACTACCTACATCATTCAGGAGCCGCCGAGGTGTAAAGAACTTTTTTTTTTAGCTTGAATTATCCGTATAATTTTGGCTGCCTTTCGTGTAAACTTTAAGTTCGAGACGTATTTTCCTTATAGAGTTTAGCCAGTTTTTCAGAGAGAAAAAAAAAAAAAAAGACACTGAAGTCTAAATGAATCACATGGAGACTTGGCTTTTTTAATGCTTTGTGACCAAGACATCTTAGAGATGATGCTCCTGGCTTGCCATTTTTCTTTACATGTCATCTTGAAGCTTTTAGGGGAGCATGACATTATTTATTGAAGGTTTAATTTTGTATTTTCACAGGGGATTCAGAAGTATTTCAGAAGCAGTTTGTAATTCCTTAATACCTTGGAGTAACCCTGTAGAGTTCATTTCACCTTTGAAGTGATTAGGTGTGGTTTGGATGTGTAAGGAGCCATCACCTAGACCAGTTGCTGCTACCTGAGAATGAAGCATCCCGGGTAAACTGGAGTGCTCTTTAGTCGATAACTAGTCCCTCCGTGCCCCCCAGCACAGTGTTATGTACCGTGGGTACATTTTGGTCAAGTATAATAAGTGACCTCTGTGTTCAAGGAGCTTGCAACGTAGTGAAGGCAAGATGGACACAAAAGTAAACATGATGCAAGAATTGACAACATAAGCCAAGAACAATTGTCTGGGAGCATCGCCAGGTGAAGGCCACTGTCCATAACTTGTATCACCTCCAAGGAATGAGAGGTCACTGGATTGTAGTGTTCAGGGATGGTTTCGTGGACGGAAGGGCATTCTGAACAGGCTTTCAAAAATGCGCGGGTATCCCAGGCAGGAGGAAGACGGCGTGCAAAGGCACGAAATGAATTAGCAGAAGTTCAGGGGATGGCAAGGAGATGAGTTTTGTCCAAGAGAGTGGCAGATGACATAAATCTAGAATGAAAACTTGGCCCTAGGTGGCGGAAGGCCTTGAATGGCAGGCTAATCGTGTTTGGACTTTACTCGCTAAACATGGGGCAGCCAGGCAAAGGCATTCAGACAGAGAGATCACTTGATTAAATGTTACTTTTAGGTGTTTAATCCTTTGCGTTGCTGTCAGATGTTTTTGAGGCGGAGAGGGATGGAAATGTGGGAACCGATTTACAGTAATCTAGCTCAGAGACCCTAACCCCCTAGATAAGAACAAGCGTGGAGAAGAAACGCCAAGTACAAGAGACGTTCTGTGGAAAGCCTGGACCCGAGTTACTGATGACTCAGGAGAAAAAAGGAAGTGTTAAGGATAATTGTGTGTCCCGTGGCCAGTGGGTTCTCCAGGTCGTGACACAATTTCACTAGGTTTCTCTCTCCAACTTTCAGACTAAGGGCAGCAAGCTGTAGAGGACGAGGTGGGCTAGACTGGAGGAAGCCAGGAACGCGCGTTTGGACACAGCATATGATTTCATGAAGTGATTTAGCCTCTACAGATTAATTCACATCAAAGAATGCATTTCTGCTATACCGACCGTTTCACAGTTCAGCTGGCATCCAATTCCCCCTGGAAGCTTCTTCATAGAACAGGAACAAGTCACCATCGGTAGTGTTTATCACTACAGTGCCACCACATCTGTGGACGAGAGTGGTATCATATTTATGGGATCTGCCTGCCTAGATAAACATTGTAAACATCTTTTTAAAAAGACGAAATAGAAAGCAGCAGTGGTAGCAACAGTCTTGGAACCTTGACCACCTTATCATAGAACTAGGGGTGACTCACTGGTTAATTAACAAACTAAATAGGTCAGCGTAACGACCCAGGCTTTTTACATGTAAATACTAGTTGGATCTGAGATGAAGAATCCGAGCGACGTATTGGAAAAATAGGAGTTTCCCAACTCTTCAAAATATCAATAATCAGCTAAGTATTTTAGGTCCCTGACCCACAAAATGGCGGGCTCCCTTCAGCCTCAGTCTTGCGCTAGAAGTACACTACTTCGGCTATCAAAACACAAAGGGAAAGGAAGAGAATAAAAGTTGGTCGGGGATGGGGAGTGGGTTTGTGTAACAAGGCTCTTCCCCTATCCTGAGAGTTGGCCAATAAGAGTGCTTTGTTTATCTGGTTCCAATTATAATAAAGGTGTTTTTTTTTTCCTACTCCCTAACCGCATAATGGTCGCTCTCTGAGCATATGTATGTTTATCCAACTCCTGGTTGAAGTTGTGACTAAATTCAACAAAGAGTTTTGCCTCTGTGTATGGCATTTGAAGACTCACTCTGATATGTTTTTTCATCCCCATTTTTCCTCTTTATCGAGCTCTAATTCACATACCATGCAAGTCACTCACTGAAAATGCATGAGTCAATGGTTTTTAGTATATTCAGAGTTGTGCAACTATCAGCACACTTAATTCTGGAGCATTTTATCACCCCAGAAAGAAACCCCATACATCTGAGCGGCCACTCCCCATTGCCTATGAATCACCCCCTTCCTGGCCCCTGACAACCACAAATCTACTTTCTGTATCTGGCTTTGCCCATTCTGGACATTTCATATAAATGGAATCCTACAATACGTGGCCTTTTGTGACTGTCTTCTTTCATTAACATGTCTTCAAGGTTCTTTCATGTTGTAGCATGGATCAGTCCTTCGTTCCTTTTTCCAGCTGTATAATACTCCTTTGTATGGATACACCCCATTTTCTCTGTTCATCAGTTGATGGACATCTGAGTTATTTCCATTTGGGGGCTGTGATGAATGCTGTGAACACTTCTGTACAAGTTTTTGGGGAGACAGGCTTTCAGTTTTCTTGGGCATATACCGAAGAGGAGAATCACTGGGCCAGATGGCAACTCTCCATTTAACCTTTTGAAGGACTGCCAGACTGTCTTCTCCAGCAGGAGGTGTATAAGGGCTCCAGTTTCTCATTATTCCCTACAACACTTGCTATTATCTGCTGCTTTGATTATCACCTTCCTGATGGGTGTGAAGTGGTCTCTCATTCTGGTTTTCATTTGCACTTCCCTGATGGCTGATGATGTTGAGCATTCTTTCATGTGCTGATGGGCCATTTTGATATCCTCTCTGGAGCTGTGTCTATTCAGATCCTTTACCAATTTTTTTTTTTTTTGAAAATTGGGTTATCTTTTTATTGTTAAGTCATAAGGGTTCTTTATATATGTTCTAGAGTCCCTTATCAGATCTAGGATTTCCATATAGCTCCAATTCTTGGGGCTGCCTTCCTACTTTCGTGATGGTGTGCTTTTTTAAGTTTTTAATTTCGATGAAGTCCAATTTACTTCTGTTTTCTTTGGTTGCTTGGGCTTCGATGTTGTGTCTAAGAAGACTTTGCCTAAATCAAGGTCATAGAGATGTACACCTGTGTTTTCTTCGAGTTTGACGGTTTTAACTCTCACTTTCAGGTCTTTGATCCATTTCAAGCTAATTTTTGTATATGGGACAAGTTAGGGATCCAAATTCATTCCTTTGTGTATGTTTATCCAGTTGTCCTTCCACCATTTGTTGTAAAGACTATTCTTTTCCCCCATTGAATTGTCTTGGTACCCTTATCAAAAATCAATTGGCCCTAAATGCATGGGTTTGCTCTGGGCTCTCAGTTCTATTCTATTGATCTATATAGGTCATCCTTATTCCAATACCACAGTCTTGATTACTATAGCTTTGTAGTAAGTTTTTCAGTTAAGAAGTGTGAGTCGTCCAATTGTATTCGTTTTCAAAAATTTTTGGTTATGCTGGGGCCCTTGAATTTTCTTAAGAATTTTAAGATCAGGGGCGCCTGCGTGGCTCAGTTGGTTAAGCGACTGCC